TAAGTATGTTAAATTATCAGAGCCAATGTCAAACTCATCACTTCAACAAAAATTACACACTACTTATGAGGGAACTGTAAGCTCATTGACATTATTAAGGACACCGATTAAAAATAACATATCAATGACAATGAACCGATACTCAAAAAAAACAACACAAAGAATATTATTCGATAAATTAAGTCAGATAAATAAAGCTAAACCATTTGAAAAACTATTTACGGGGTTCAACCAGACATCGACATTATTAACTTCAAAACCAACAATAAACACCAAAATTTCTTTTAGTACACAAGCAACCCCATCTTTATTTATACCACCTAAGATTAAAGCAGCTAAAGCAACGTATTTACCATTATTGAGCCTTAAATCATTTGAGGTTAATGAAACTATAACTGATACTTTGGCCCAAAAAAATTACGCAAACCTGTGCTATAATAGTGAAATGTGTAGAAATATACCGGTTTTAACTTCAACGAGCTACACACCAACGAGCGTAAACGATCAATTAGACACAAAAAAGACGTCTGTCATCTTTACTCACCAGAATAAATCATTAATATTAAATGTAGAAAATAAAGGAAGAACAAATGAAATGGACAATTTTATAAGAACTACCGCTTTATTGCCTAACTTAAAAATGAAAAAAGAAACAAAATACAAAACTAATAGTGTTGGCCAAATAAGAAAATTTGAATTAAATGAATCAACAGGAAATAATGAATTCAAGAAAGAGCTGCAAAAGGAAAAGTACTTAAACCCTAACAATACAAAGCAAACACTACTATCATATGGAAGAACTTCGACGAATTATAGTAACAACGCTTTTAATAATGAGAATGATTTCAATCAAATAGCACCTTTCCATGATAACGAAGACAAAACTATAAAAACGCAAGGTGATAGACAAAGTAATACAAACATATTATTAACAACAATATCGAAACCATTCAATTCTTTTTTTGTGCCTAAATTTTTTAAAATTAATATTTCTACTGAATCTACTATGTTGTCTGAGTTAAAGGAAAATATTCTCTCACTGATGAAAAATATGGAAACGAAAAAACTTAACTTAACTATTCCCACAGAAGTCAGAAAAACCGTTAAAGCAATGAATATTAAAGAAATTTACAAAACACAAAGCATAGATTCAACACAGCAATCAATGCTAAGGTTTCTCAATAGCCCAGATACCACTAAAACTATTAATATTAATAAATCAGAAAGTGCACCTGAAGATTTAAGTGGTCAAAAACATCTTAAAAATAAATTACCTCTTGATTACTTTAATCAAAATTATGAATATACCACAAGGAGCTACCAGAAATATACTATTTATAATACTAATGTTTCTATAACTAAAAGACTGTGCAAAACTAACGAAGTTTGTTCAAAAAACGTAATAAATAGCAGTAATGAACATATTATGACAACTAAAAAGTACAGTGACAAAATTCTGAAATTTGGAAGAAACAATCATGTGTCTAAACCATCCACATTAAATGATTCTACAACACTGCAGCCTCAACAATATACAGAATCAAACTATAATTTAAAAAATCCTTACAAGTATTCTAAGCAAAATAAAGCATTAAATTATAGTGACACATTTAAAATAAATATGAGAAACACAACCTCAATTAACAAAACTACTACTGATTCCTACATAATAACGATGAATTTATTGAAAAAAGAATTATATGAAAAACCGATCTATAAACCTAATATTACATATAATAGACTTAAAAAAACAACTAGTTTCAATACAATTACTGAGAATAAATTAATAATAATGAAAAATTCACAGCCTCTGAAAGTGAATCCTGCATCAAACAATTTCAGCAGTACTGTTAATCTTTTCACGAATACAACTACAACTAAAAAGCCGAAATTTGATAAAAATAGACAGACATTTGAAAACAAAACCAATGTTCTCTTAATACAAGGTATTGATAAGAAATCTCGTAAATGGTATTTTAATAATGATACGAATAAATCAAAAGAACGTCTACATACTTTAAATGCAAACAATGAAAAGAAAAATATGAGTGGCTTATGTGATGATCAAGTATTGGTTATCGGTAGCGTTGTAGTTCTAAAAAGGAAAAAAGCTAGTGATAACAATCAAACAATATTAAATCAATTAAAGAACATTGTACCTATATTTATAGTTTCAGATTCAAATAGCACATATATGAGTAAACATGTTAATGAAAATAAAACAATTCCTTCAGTAAGATCAGAGGTTACTGAGAGGAATAATTGTAAAGATCAAACAGTTTTAAAAAAATCTTCCGGATTATTTAAAATTAATTTATATGACAAGGATATACCCAGCAAAAAAAAGTATTCATTATTTAACAATATTGAACGATATAAAGAAAAATCACAGGATATTATTCAATTGATCAAAAACCAACCATCCAAATCTATTATTACTAATAACTCCACTACCATGAATGCACCTAAATATGTGGATAATCACAAAATAGTAGAAAGTCAAAAAAGTCGTGAAGAATATACTTTTAAAACTTCAAAGCACAATGAACGCAGTACTGTTAAAAATAAAATTTCGTACCTTGACCAACTGAATGACGTAATGAGTTCTTCAACGACTACTAAACATTATGCCTATATTAGTCAAAAACAAAATGAAATAGTTGGGAACAGGTCATTTGTCACTGACAAATTTCTTAATACTACTGACTCTAAATTACCTAAAAGAAGACAGGATAATCGCATAATGTTAACAAAACAGTCTTTCAACATAAATAGCTCAAAATTTGTAACAAAATCTCGCAAAGATAGTTACATACATAAAAATCTTGCAGATAAAGAACCCAAAGTTCGGAATAATATCAATGAAGAAGACACTGTGACTCCCAGTAAAACTTTCAAAAATATTCAACCTAATATATTAATTAGTACCACCAAAAGCGTAACCGCATCAAGTGTTCCTCATGGTATTGGTTTAAATTTTAATGTGGAACGAAAGGGAATGAATATTAAATCAAAATTAAGCACCGCTGGCAATTATTTTACAACAACCAGAATTCTACCGGAACTTAAGAGGACTACAACTAAAAACCGTAAAATTATTAAATATAATTTTTACAAACCAGCCCCAGAAGATCTTGATGTTTCGTTAGATTCTGAAGTAGAGCTCGCCTTTAAATTAGCAGCTAACAAGAAAAAGATATTATCAAATAAAGAAATCAGTTTATTTAAAAAATATCATCACCAAACATCCGATTTTAATGAAATATTTAAGCTACCAAAAAATAATGTAGATGTCAGCGGAAAAGTCACATCTGTCACAGTACGAAATCCAATTTTTATATTTACAACGACGATAAAAAAACCAGAAACAACAATGGTTCAACTTAAAACAACAAAATTTTACAATAACTCAATACGAAAAATTAATTACACCACTAAGAAGCCTAAACGAATAAATGTAAATAACATAATTAACAATACAAATTTTACGCCAAAAGAAAGTAACATTATAACTATAAACACAGAAAAATTTTTTTCACAGAGACGATTTTACTCAAAGAATATTTTAAGGGATATGCCAAATTCGCACCATCTTCCCCTTTTACGTCACTTCCCAGCTACGTCTAGACCAAGACAAATCATTTTAAGACCAATATTCAGGAACTATGCTATCAATCAAATAGCAGAAGAGCAATACTCTCCACCTAAACCAGTGTTTAAAGATAAAGCCAAACATTACAATGACGATATACAAATTCGTCATAAGACAAACGCATTGTATTGCCAAGACAAAATTACTTATTTGCAAAATAAGGTAGAAGCTGAAATAATACCAAATGTGTTGGAGAAGCCAGCCCTGCTATCGACAACTGAAGATAAGCTTTTGAAGGATATTGATCAATCTAACTACGCTAAAAATCAAAGGCCACTTAACATGAAATCATATTTCTTAAAACCCGTTCGTAGCGGCTTTCAAAACTCAAAGCTACAAGAAGCCTATAGAAGAACAATGCAAAAAAATTTGAAGAATATCTCCTCTTCAGCGATTATACCAACTAGAAGATCGAGAAGGACGATTTTCTTTCTGAGTCCAACCGTGCCTTATAACCGTTACTTTAGATGATTGTTATTATAAAAGTGAATTAATTAAAATACTCAAATCGTTGATTATATGTTTTAAATTAATAACCCTTTATATACTTTTAAAAGTACCCTTTTTTTATAAGCATATATAAAAATAGAAGTCCTAAATTACAACAAATACTGATAATAAAGTGATCTGTTTTCGATTCTGTTTTCTATCATCGACATCTTGAGCATAGTAACCCAAATCAATAAACTGCACTGCCTATTTAAAAATTAAGTTACACCTTTGCGAGAAATTCATATGACAGATCAGTTTGATTGCAATATTCAGATACGAAAACCTGTGTTAAATAAAATATAAAGTAGTGTAATAAAAGCAACAACGAAGAACATTATGATGAACACAGACCTTCTTTCGATATACGAGTATTATTTAAACAAAAGATTAACCACTGAAGTAGCTCCGATTACTAAGTAAGTTTTTGCGTTGACAAGTATAATTAGATAGGTATAAAAAAGATGAGAAACTGTAAGCATATTGTAAAACACACTCATCCATCTACATAAATAAAATGATAGAGGTTTGCAGTTGCGCGCGCATCACGGAAAAACTACTGGATAGATTTCAATTAGGTTTCTAAGTTTTATGTTTTAGACACTAGGCCCTTATCTAACGTTTTAAGAAACAACGATTTTTATATAATTTTTCACCGTTAAATAACACATTTTCATATAATTGGTTTTCTTACAGTCGTATTTATATATTTATTATATATATATATATATATGCGTATTTATATCGAAAACTTTGTTAACATATCACGCAACGCGGACGAAATTGCGGGTATCAGCTAGTATCATATAAAATATATTAAACATTTGACAGTGTTAAATTGTACGTAAAAATTTATTAGGTGACCGACTGGTGGCTGGACGATATGTACCTGAAGGTACGCCTGCCTCTACCTATCAACTCAAACCCGGGCATGGTGTTCCCGCGCCGTCAATTTTCTAAAATGGAGGAGGTTGCCGACCTCGGTGCACTCTTCATCGATGATCTCTTGGATTATAAAGAAATGTTGGACCGGTAAGGCACAGGAATATCTACGGGTTTCATTTATTTTTTTAATAATTTAATTCGCCGATTAAGGATAATGACCACACCCTCTTAATCCTAATTCAAGCTGTATCAGCTGTATTCAAACACTTTCTTTTTATAAGTACTACACACGTACTCTTCTTTTTTCATGGTAATTTTTTTATGCATGGTAGGTCCATGCTGCAGCTATATTATGGTTGTAGCACGAATAGGTCTGCTCTACCGGGGTAGGAACCCGCTCTCACAGAATAACAGCGTAACATAGCAACTCAATTTGATTCTTAATCGGGGATTAATGTAGATCATTCATTTTTCGTTACAGCCCTTCACAAGTCCACTGCTGAACATAGGGCTCCCTCCAGGAATGCCACAAAGCACGATTCCGAGTCATCTGCATCCATTGACTTCTTGCATGTCATCTTACCAGTCAGCAGTTATCAAGTGGGGGGATGCCCTACACTTCACCTGCCGGTACGAGACTGCCACTCGAGAACCTTTCTTCCCCATCGGTTGCCGGTTCTTCGAGCTATATGGCCGGCCCATTGCCACTTCAGCTTACTGATCCTTTGGGGTATATCGGTAATACTGGTTTTACTGCGGATATCCTCGTTTTTAAGTCCATCACGCAGAGAAACACCGAGCATAGCCCTACCCATAGCTCGCTGAACGACTTTAAGTTTCCTCATACGGCCAGCAGTGAAGGACTACGTCTCAGATTCATATTGGCAACACGCACTTGTTCTACAATCTAGTTTTGAGGTTTTGAGGTATGCCGGACGAGAAGATGTGTTGTATACTCCCGAACGCTGCCCAACCGAGTTGAATCCGTCGATTGACCTCTCGGTCGAAGTTAGACTTACCTAATCGGACTATTTGTCCCAGGTAAACATATTCGTCAACAACTTCGAGCTTAGTGCTCCCAAAAAAGTACCGGCATAGGTTAAACATGATTTTTGTTTGTCCATGTTCATCTTAAGACCTATCCGCTGGGAAACACTATTGAGATCAATGAGCATAGTACTTAGATCCTCCAGCGATTCTACCATAAAGACTATAGCGTCGGCAAATAGAAGGTGAGAGGTGTACTCTCCATTGACGTTAATACCGTATCCTTTCCTGTCCGGTAGTTTGAAAACGTCTTCCAACGCAGCGGTGAAGAGTTTCGGGGATATTACGACACCTTGTCTTACACCTCTCTGCAGTTGGATAGGTTTCGTACTCTGGTTCTGCAGTCGGATAGCGATCGTATCTCTACTGTACAAACACTTAAGCACTTCGATATACCGACAGTCCACTTGGCACCGCTGAAGGGACTGCAGCACCGTCCAAATTTCGACGGAATCAAAGACTTTCTCATAGTCCATATACGCAAGACAAGGTGGCAGATTGTTCTCTTCGGTCTTCTGTACTATTTGCCAAAGGGTGTTTATGTGGTCTATGGCGCTAAAGCCTTTTCGGAAACCGGCTTGTTCGGGAGGCTGAAAGTCGTCGAGTCTGCGTGCGAGACGATTCGTAATGACTCTCGAAAACACGTAAACGTGGCTCAGAAGGGAAATCTGTCCGTAGTTTTTCAAAAGAGCGTTGTCGCCTTTCTTGAAGAACAAGACCACCGCACTTCTGCTCCACGCCTCCGGAGTAGTGCCACCATGGGAAACGGAAAATTAAAGAGCTTCTAAAGGACTTTAAGTAACGTTTTTCCACCCGCTTTCAGAAGATCCACTGTAATTCCATCCTTGCCGTTTTTAAGGTGCTGGAGAGCCATTCTTATCTCGCTCAGACTGACGTGCGGAATATCATCGGAATAGTGTAGGATAAGACTTGCTCTTAAATCATTACTCACTCGTCTTTAGCTTTGAGAGTTGGCTCTTTCTGGTAGACAGATCTCTAGCAAAGACTTTGGAGCCCTGGTTCTGCTCGATCGCTTCTTCAATACGAGCTGTATTGAAGTTGCGCAAGTCAAGTCGCATGCATTTGGAGATCTGTCTGTTCAGTTGTCTGTATGTTGTCAAATCTGGCGAAGACTGCAGCTTCATCTCCCGTTTAACAGCCATGAGATTAAGAATGTGATCGGAGAGTTTTTCTGTTCTTCTGCGACATAAAAAATGTAGATATCTATGCCACAAATCACGGTCCTAAACCACTTGCATCCATCGACCTCCTACATGGCTTACCAGGTCGTTACCCCGGGGGCCGCCAAGGTCAGGGGTTTTGCTTATTGTTGGATATTCTTAATTACCTGGTGTAAGCATTATTTTAAAGGTCCACAACCCAACTTTGGATTCAAAAGGTGATTGGTGTAAGTAAAAGTAATCTAATTTTTATCTTTTAGAGGAGAGCTGCCACTCGAGAGAGCCACAAGCCGCGAGAAAGGCCAACCGCTATGTATGGAGCAGTTCTACCGTCTACTAGGCGTGTGTCGCATTCCAGAAGTCGGCAAGGATCGCCTAGAACTACCGCATCCGCCTAGCGATCCTGAAGAAGTCGAGGAGTTAGTGATTGTGGCATGCAGGAACTATGTAAGCGGTTTTTATTTATTTCATTTTATTTATGATAACCAACGAAAAATACAATATTTAATATGTTACAATATTTATATTCTACGATTCATGGGCGCAGCTAGGATTACTTTCAGAGAGGTACATCTGCATCTACACATTATACTATTAATTAATATAGAATATAAAATTATACATGTATTTATGTAGATAAATGTAATGTAAAATTCAAATTGCGGGGTATTTGATTATACATATTTCGCCCATCGACAACAAATTTGTACAGCAACCTGTAGGTTGCTGTACAAATTTGTTCATCACCTTGTTGGACACGCCCTCAGTTTTTCTAGGTTTTTTTTTTCCTGACCCTGCTGCTATTATAGATTACCATGGCGTGCATCGTGGGCGAGCTAATCTTACCTATTTTTAAATAGACGACGCGATGCTCTAGTAAAGACACTTGTAGAAGGGAGGTTTGAGCTCCTTCACACAGTGGCTATAACTGTACTAGTGTTAAAATTAACTATTCACTTTCTTACCGTCTTTACAGGAAATAAATGTTAATAGTATTTTGTGAACATAGTAATCACTATACACTTTCGTGTTTCTTCGTCCCCTAACTTAAGGTAAATTAATTACTTAGCGGCATCCCGGGAGCCGCGGCCGTTCGCTGCGCTTTATTATTTTAGTCAGTTAGACAGTTTGCAGAGACCTTGCGTAATTTGATTCGGTTTAAGACAGACTACTGAACGCGCCCATCCTAAATTTTGTTATTATGAAATCTAATTAAATTAAAATGAGTAATTCCCCAATGATCAACATAGGATGACAATACTAAGCACCATAATCTTTAGGATTATATTTTTTAATTTCTTACACATGCAGATGTCTGAGCACGTGATAAATCAGCGCATTAAATTACAATCAACAAAGTCATCAGTGCCTCAGTGCAGGAATTTCAGATTAAAAAAAATAGAAGTGACAAGCATACTGACAGTCCACCTGATGGTGAGTGGCTACTGCAGTCCATGGACACTTGCAGCCAGCCTCAAATAAAGAAGACTACAGGTACGTCGTCACCTCGGAGGATTAAGATGGAATGCTTCAAAGCCTGTCATTATATTGGCTCCCTATACCCTTCAGGTCGGAACACACGAGTGCAAGCTTAGCTATTTGCAATACTCTTATCATCAGGTGGATTGTTAGCCTGAGTGTCACATTCATTTTATTTAAAAAAAACACTATTTCCCACAGTTCTATCCGATTCCTGTGAAAGCAGTGGATCGTGGACGACTCACACCAGGCGAGATCCAGGCACAGCTGCTGCACGTTTTGGTGGACGCGGCAGGGGCCCCATCTGCTCCCAGGGTTGGCCTCCTCACATCCATGGGCCGAGATCAGTGGGCCAGGGCTAGGGAACAACTCATCAGAGGTTTAATTAATTGCTTGTTATCTTCCTAAATAACGTTCTCACAAACCAAATATACATAAATACAGTTATGTATATTTTTATCGGACAAAATACAATTCACACTTCAATATAGCGATCTTCCAACTATTATGCTTGTTAATCGGAATATTGTACCAATTGCCAGCATCTGTAGAGATTAGCTATTATCAGGACCGTTATTAACAGGCGCAGGACGGGGGTGAAACACGGCCAACTTCTTCCGGGCTGCCACTGAGTATTTCTTGACAGAAAAGTGCAATAACCGATGTTGGCCCGACACTAGACGTCACCGGGAACCATTCCACACATAAGACAAGATAAAGAGAGAGAGAGAGATTCAGATGAGAGCGCCATGTTAACGGCCACGAAACTAATGAGGCTTTACAGGTTGTATTCAATTGTCGCAGAGGAGAACAACCGTTCGAACCTGGAGCTGATCTCGCGTGCGCTGTGCGTGCTGTGCGTGGACGAGGCGGGGGGCGATCGCGCGGACATGGACCCCGACACCAACGCCATGCTGCGAGCCATGCATGGCGCCGGCACAGCCTACCACTCCGCCAACCGCTGGTTCGATAAGACCGTCCAGGTAAACATCGTTTTAATCCTCTTTCTTTGTTTCTTGACTTAACATTTATTTGTGTGACAAAAGAGCACACATTCCCCCTGATGGTAAGTGGCGGCTTTGGCCCATAAACATCTACATCAATTCTCGATTAAGAATGAAAATGCAAATGCGTTGCCGTCCTTGAGGGCTAAGATGTGACGCCTCGTTTCCAGTAAAAACATTCTTCGGTTCTCTACACTCACCATACGAAACACAGCAGCATTAAGCTGCTTTTTTATATATTCTGTGAGAGCTTGGTCCTTCTCCGGTTAAGACAACCCGTTCGTTCTGCAACCATAACTTAGGAACATGGCTGTACCACATGTAAATCTTTCCAGGCGGTAATTAATAGAATCAGGCGTTACTTTGCGGAAATCCATTATATTAAAGTTGGTAAAAGTTACTTCGCGTACATCCGCTCGATAAAATAAAATAATGTGTCTTACCTAGTTTGAAGAACACCTCCTGCCCTCCGTCAATTGCGTGCACTATCCCCGTCACCACTAATCCCAGCACCACTACTCCCAACACCCCTACACAGGAAAGACACACCACTGACGACAATACGACACGTGTTTCGCCTCTACACGAGGCATCTTCAGATGATGTAGATTTTGCGATGGCTGACCGCTAAGTGATCACTTAGCGGTCAGCCATCGCAGAGAGATAACTTTTACCAACTTACCAGGCCGATTAAAGATTGTAGGGCCAGAAGTGAGAACCTTTGTCGCTGGTGCTTGTTGTATATTGTTGCTTGTTTTTTCAAAGTTCTAATTCTACAGTTAATCATCTCATCGGATGGCACGGTGGGCATGTGCTACGAGCACAGCTCGGCAGAGGGCGTGGCAGTCGTCAGGTTGGCTGAACGGGCGTTGGCTCGCGCAGAAGTAGCCGACCGCCCCACCCCACCTCCAGCACTGCTGCCAGCACCTCAGGCCATGCGGTGGAACCTCACGCCGGATCTGCACCAGACCATCGAGCTGGCCGCAAAGCAACTGGATCGGTAATAGTTGCATACATCGTGTCAGTTTGCTTTAATTTTGTATTTTTACTGACGTTGATACTGATATTTTCACAATTTAGTGTTAAAAAGTCATCTAAATTCGGTAATCACTATCTTCATTAATTAGTGTCAAATAATTTTAGTATAATTATTTAATCGAATGACATTAGTCAAAGGCCGTGAGTTCTTTCTAACGTCTTCATGAGACCTCCCTCTTGACTTGAAGCCTCAAGCAGTCAAGCAGATTTTAACTAATATTTAAAAGTGATTTAAACAACACAATAATTGGATTAGTGTGGCGCAAAGTTATGATTACTTTCAACATTACATGAGAATGTTGTTTGCAGTCAAATAGCGGACTTGGACTTCAAGGTGTACACGTACAATGGATATGGACGCGAGTTCATGAAGTCCTGCCGCACCAGCCCCGACGTCTACATACAACTCGCGCTGCAGTACACTTACTGCAAGTAAGTACCATCTAGTAATTAGTGTGTTAAAAGAACTTATGGTATAAATAATTTGGCAAATTTTCCCTGAAACAGATATAGACATAGGTTTTATTGGCATTAATACACTCACATGCTGAGCTCATGCAGTATTTATTTAGTAAAAAAAAATACATAAAGTATACAGAAAACATATAAGATACAGGAAACATATAGACCCGTTTTACTGGAAAAGAGGCATTCCTAGAGACTAAAGTCCTCACGGCAAGACAACGCATCTGCATATTGATTCGCAAACGAGGATAGATGTAGATGTCTATGGGCCACAGCAACCACTTTACCATCAGGTGGACTGTGTGCTCGTTTGTCACCTTTATCCTACACACATAAAAATGAGTTTAAAAAAATTATGTATTAATTTTCATCCACCTTTTTTCATATTATTACATTGCTATCTGGTTCTGAGCTATGTTCAAAATTTCAAGTCTATGATCAAGATCGGGAAATTAGTTTATAATATTAAAATTTTAAAGCAAAAAGAAAGTTTTAAAGCAAAGAGAGCTGATGAATTTCAATCGGCTGAAAAGATTTTCTTGAATCATAGCTAAGAACAGTCTCGATCAAGTCACCTTTCAAACAAAAAAAAGAAACTAAATCTAAGTCGGTTCAACCGTTTGGGAGCTACGATGTCACAGACAGACACACAGATACACACGTTAAATATATAACACCCCTCTTTTTCCTCGGGGGTTAAAAATCAATTTCATGAGTGATGTGATGCCAAGAAGGATTCAGACTTAGCGTATGCTAGCGCAGGTACTGCAGCAGCGTTGATTTTCAGCGGAGCCCCAGTAGTGGACTTTCATGGACTATTGATGATGATGATGACATGAATAAAATCATTGTCGACAAATATATAAATAGGAGAATAGAATTCTACAGCAACCGGGTCTAGTAGACCAATGGGGCAGTCAACCTCGTTGGACTAGTGATCGAACACGCGATTTCTGATCATGAGGTCCCGGGTTCGACTCCGGGTCGGCCCAAAATCATTTATTGCGTTTTTCTGTCAAGAAATTCTCAATATTCGTGCCTCGGAAAGCAGCTTCCGTTGGTCCTGCGCCTGATCGCTCTCCGGCCGTAGCGGATTACCGTCCCGTGGGACTATTAGAGTGAGAGTACGCCCGTTCCAGCGTATACACTTGGGCATTATAATCCTGTCCTACGCAGATGGCTAGACTCCGTTAGGACTGGCCGTCGTGACCAAAATCGGTCTGGAGGACATTATTATTATCTACTAACCGAGTGGTGCGATTGCGCAGGCTTCACGGGCATCTGGTGTCGACGTACGAGTCAGCATCGCTGAGGAGGTTCCGCGGCGGCCGCGTCGACAACATCCGCGCAGCGCACGCACCCGCGAAAGCCTGGGCTTCCGCCATGTGCGCGCACGACCACCAGCAGCACGACGACACCAGGAAGGTCTCCTTCAACTTGTACGGGGTGAGAAACACACTTTAAACGCTCACTACTGGATTTCACATAGGCACGTCTCATTTCAAACCATTGACCCGGCTCGTGGTTCCACGTTATTTCACATCCTGTATGGGTTGTCCATGTTAACCACAAACCGTGTACATACGATGCATAATTAAAGGAAAAACTTTTGCCTATTTTCTACCCGTGGGAACGGAATCTTTTCTTTAAAATTTAATGGGACCACCCTTGAGGTAAAACCTCTTTAATAAAAAAAAAGAATCATTAAAAGCGGTTCACAATGTGCGAACATATCGCGTAACATATATACTAAAACAACATACAGTCGAATTGAGAACCACCTCCCTTTTGAAGTCGTTTAAAAATATAAAAAATATTGGTAATAGATGCTAACCGGTTTATCCGAGTTTGCGAACTTAACGGACGTTTTAAAATGTTTGTTTTACTTAGTGTCAGCCAATTTAATTCCATACATCCAATTATCATAGCCTATCAAAGTCTACTGCTGAAAAAGGCCTCCTCCATAGATTGCTTCATAGGGAGGATATTTGCCAGGGTTACCAAGCCTAATTAAGTTATCAATGGTAACTATATAAGAACGTGAACTGATTAAATGTATCTGTAGCTTTAAGTGTAACGATTACGTATATTCGTTAGAGTTATCACGATCAGCAAGAGTTTTTCATATGAGTAGTTTTATAACTATGATACGGCGATGGTCTGCAACGTCTTTCATAAGGAAGACGTTGCAGATCATCGCCAGTTTCATTTTCTTCGGTGGCCTCTTACGACTCCCGCGGGATTATACTATGGGGCACTAGTTCTGACGGCACAGATCGCGTCCTAACCTTTTCAATTTCCTCATCGCAGGAACAAAAGAAAATAGAACTATTCGATGAAGCTGCTCGTAAACAAACCGCGATCATGGAAGCCAACATCCAAGGACGCGGCATCGATAATCACTTGCTGGGGCTCCGCGAGGCGGCGAGGGAGTCGCTCGGCGAGTTGCCGCCTCTATTCACCGACCCCACGTATAAGCAGATGATCGAGTTCAAGCTCAGCACCAGTCAGGTATTGTGTAGTTCAGACATAAGTACATAAATAAAAAAATTACAAAAACAAGCGGTAAAATTAAAAATTCTGTACAACCGACTTCAATATAAATAAAATGAGAACATCATCAAAGTAGGCGAAGTAATTTAAATACGCATTATTAAGGATAACTCAAAAACTACTGGTCAGATCTTGATCAAATTTATATAAGACCACATAGAAAGTACCAGCTTTCAAATAAAAAAGGCCAAGTGCGTGTCGGGCCACGCACAATTTAGAGTTAGGGTTCCGTAGTTGCCCGTCACAATATGTGGGCTTTCTTGATAATGATCATAATAAGTTCACGATTTGACGGCTAAAAATGAGCCTAAATAGGAAGGTTTGAAAATAAAACCTTTTTGATTTTGAAAATATTAAAATTAACATCAAGTAAGTAAAAAGATGATCATAGTTCATTATCTATCTACAGGCTATATGATTGTATAAATACTTTGAATGAGTCCTACAATAGCTACCAACTACAAAATAAGTAAAAGTAGTAAGTAAGTAAGAAAGATCCTTCCTGCCTATCCCGCAAATGAAAAAGTAAAACTATAATAGTAATGCATATAAGTCGTTTTCTTCATAAAATGTTTATTTTTAACAGTTTACAATAACATCACAAAGTTATAATGCAGCTCGTTTTAGGTCTTTTTCTATGGAGTTGTGACGAAATTTTTACTAAGTGCATTTAATAAGTTGGTCGACTATTACTCGTTAACTTCTTAATTCTACTTAGCTGTGATAGTTTTTCTTTTAACTTCATTATATATTATGCTGTTGTGTGCAATTGTACAACCAGTGCGTGTTGCCAGTGATGACTTACGGATCTGAGACGTGGTCCTTCACTGCTGGCCGTATGCGGAAGCTCAAGGTCGCTCAACGAGCTATGGAGAGGGCTATGCTCGGGGTTTCTCTGCGTGATAAACTTAGAAATGAGTATATCCGCAGTAGAACCAGAGTAACCGACATAGCCCAACGGATTAGTAAGCTGAAGTGGCAGTGGGCCGGCCATATAGCTCGAAGAACCGACAACCGATGGGGAAGAAAGGTTCTTGAGTGGCAGCCTCGTACCGGTAGGCGAAGTGTAGGGCGACCCCCCACGAGATGGAGTGACGACCTGGTAAGACATGCAAGAAGTCGATGGTTGCAGGTGGCTCAGGACCGTGCTTTGTGGCATTCCTTGGGGGAAGCCTATGTTCAGCAGTGGACTTGTGAAGGGCTGTAATGATGATGATGATGATAGATTATGCTACTAACGTGTATACTTAACATTACATTTTCCAATACAGCGGTTTAGTTGGTAGAAAAGGAGACACATGACTCTAATGAAAAATACCGCTTTAAAGCTAAATAATTCGCAAACGGACCCCTGAATCGAAAATATATTGTTGCACACCCCCACTGTTTTTGAAAAACCTACCCAACGACACCCCACATGATGGAAGAGATGGTTATAAAAATTATCCCCTATTTACTTGTGTGGGAAGTATCCAAAATAAAAATGTTTTTAAGATTTTATTTCAGTTTTCTAGGCGTGGTTAATATCTATAACTATGCCAAATTACAGTTTTGTAGCACCTAGGGTCTCTGAGCAAAACCGGACGAACATGGCGAAACTATAAGGGTTCCTTGTTGTGTAACTACGGAACCCTAAAAAGAATCATCAAAATCGGTCCAACTAGAAAAACGTCCTGAGGTTACATAAATACATAAAAAATACAGTCGAATTGAGTACCTCCTCCTTTTTTGAAATCGGTTGAAAATACTAGCAATGCTTCTATTCCTTTTTACCACACCTGGTCAGCCTAAAATGCTTATGTTAGGAATGGTTCACGACAGTAGACGGATGGCGGATTCCAACCCACAACCTTTTGTGTTCGCGGTCTGCACCCTGCCATTAGGGTACATAAATGCATAAACTCACGCCTGTCACATATCATCATAATAATTATACACAAACCACAGAATAATGAACACAGGCCTCCCCCAAGGAATGCCACAAAACACGATCCCGAGCCACCTGCGTCCATCAACTTCCTGCGACCTGGTAAGACATTACCAGGTCGTCACTCCATCTAGTGGGGGGACGCAGTACACTTCTCCTACCCGTATGAGGCCGCCACTCGAGAACCTTTCTTCCCCATCGGTTGTCGGTTTTTTGATCTATATGGGCGGCCCAATGCCACTTCAGCTTACTAATCCGTTGGGCTACATCGGTTACTCTGGTTCTACTGCGGATATCCTCGTTTTTAAGTTTATCACATAGAAAAACGCCGAGCATAGCCCTCTCCATAGCTCGCTGAGCGATTTTGAGTTTCCTCATACGGCCAGCAGTGAAGGAACACGTCAGATCCATAGGTCATCACTGGCAACACGCACTGGTTATACTGTCTAGTTTTGAGTTATGCCTGACCAGAAGATGTGTCGTAACCTCCCGAACGCTGCCCAGCCGAGTCGGACTATTTGCACCAGTTAAACATACTCATCAACAACTTAGAGCTTAGTGCTCCCAACAGCTACTAGCATATGTGTGACATGGACGTTATACATGATCTTTGTTTTGTCCATGTTCATCTTAAGACCTATCCGTTGGGAGGCACTATTGAGGTCATTGAGCATAGTGCCTAGGTCCTTTAGCGATTCTGTCATAAGGACTATATCGTCGGCAAATCGAAGGTGAGTGATGTCCTACTCGCCATCGACGTTAATATATCCTATATCCTTTCCAGTGCAATAGCTTGAAAACGTTTTCCAATGCAGTTTCATAACTTACGAATGCCAAAATCAGCAATCAACAGAGGATAAATTGGACCGAAAGTTACCGGGTCTTTTAACCGACTTTAAAAAAGGAGGAGGTATCGTAATTCGGCTGTATGTTTTTTAAATATGTTACGCGATATCTTAGTCAATTGTGATCCTATTTTGATGATTCTTTCTTTTATTAAACTGATTATACTACAGAGGTGGTCCCGTATAAATTGAGAGACACAATTGTACCCCCAAAGGGTGAAAAATAGACAATGGTTTGTTTTACTTTTGAAGTAGGACTATAATAAAATATAATCATTCTATACACTATGTCATAGCACCGACTTAAGAAGATAAGGAAGTTATTACATTCTTTTTAGATCTTTGAATTAAATCGGCTTTTACTTTTTTTAAAGTTTAATATTATGTGTATAAATAAGGCCTTTTTGTGTAAATCGTAAGAAACATCCGTACATTGTTTCCGCCAGGTGACGACTACTACCGATGGCACGTTCATGGGCTACGGCGCAGTGGTTCCAGACGGCTACGGCTGCAGCTACAACCCTAAGAAGGATTCTATCATCTTCTGCATCGCGTCCTTCTGTTCCTCCAACGTCACGAACACCGAAGCCTTCTGCCTTTCTCTCGAGGAAGCTCTCGACGCAATGAAGCTTATGTTCCAGAATCGTAAGATAGACAACTAAGCTAAGCAGCCCAACTATTCAAATTACGTGTAGCTTCTAATAGTTAACTAACTTAACTTTGAAAATCTCGTAACATAATATTTAAAAAAGTCTAAATTGAACTTTCATAAAATGGATTTCATAATAATCGACTATTTTAAACTAGCCACATTGTAAGATATTGCATGTGCGTGTGTAGGCGAATTCTTCAGGGTTATTCGCGTGAGCTGAATAAAAAAAATAAGTGTTCCATTCTACTTTTGCAGGGAACACTAAAAATATCTAGTTATATAACTGTACCAACGCTTAAATGTTAAACATGTACCGTCTAAAAACATATCATTAGAATATTAATTTTAATTAAAAAAAAAGATAGTTGTTACATGTTTATCCTAATAATTAATCAGAACTTGATGTTAATAATCTATACCATATATTATCTATACAAAATTTTATGAATATAATATACGCACATTCCAAATATTTTAAAATTTTATTGAATTTAAATAAATTAATGAAAGTGTTTATCGATAAGGAAACAGAATCATATCGTCAATATCATGATATAATATTAAATAATATAGATGTTTACGCGAAGCTTGTATTGTAATAATGTACCTACTATTTAATATTACCTAACACAAAATAGCCAATTAACTGTGTTCTAAAAAAAATTAGGTATAGATCCAGGTTGAGAGATTTTGGAGGTACATCAGACTAACTGTTTACTATTGTGTTATTAGGTATATATTTATCTAATATTATCAGGATATTTTTAAGGATGTTGCCGTGCTCTCTATGTAAATTAGCTGGTCTGATTCCAGCCCACTACGCATAGCTTTTGTCCTGTTGACAGTTGTTCATATACTATTATATTGATTTTATATCAATAAGTTAAGTACAGCATATATACGTCCCACGGCTGGGCACAGGCCTCCTCCCATTTCTGAAAAAGAGCCATGGTAGCTCAGGGACTAAACGCTCGTTGTAAAATTGCACAGTAGCGCGAGCAACCCATGAAATTGTTAATGACTTACCACGTGCTCGGCGGTGAAGGAATACATCGTGAGGAAATCTGCATGTCTGAGAAATAAAAATATTTCGAAAACATGTGAAGTTTCCGCGGCGGACATTTCCTTGCACTAAAACACATATAATATTAATAATTTAATATTAAATTTCATAATTTTTTATCACTTTTAAGGTCTAAAAATAAAACAAATTGCAAATATCTAAAAAAATTCTTTCTAATAGTGGTACTCTTTACTCTGTGGTGGTACTATCAATATATACTAAAACGTGAAATTAAACCACTAATTTGTTTTTAATCTGTACAAATTGATTATTTTAGAATTAGGTAGGCAAAAGTAACAGTCCCATCGTGCTAATTTATAACGTAAAATAATAAAATTAGCAGCACTCCTAGTAACCAAATATTGCTTTATATTTTTTAACTAGGTTATATAAGATAAAAATGCACTATTTTCTATTCTCATACCTAAAATCGTCTTTGTTAACTTCAATCAGAACCTTTTACACTATACCTATATATTTAATGTTGATTATCATACATACGTTATATTATTATTTAATAATTTTATTATTTAACTCAAAAAATAAACACTTGTCCAAGTATTTTTCACCTGCAAGTTCTGTGAAGCTTGTGCAGAGTAGAATGTAACCTGAAGAACGAGTATCTAGTATTGGTTGCGAATCAAATATACGAAATAATTAAATATTTAAGAATACTTATATGAATACTTATACAAACGGTTTAAGACCCTTATCTTGACGGGTGTTCTAGTAAATTACCTAAACTACCTACTCACTGTAAAGGTACAGTAATATTATATTTGTGCTACAGGTTTTAAGAGCGAGTAACTAAATAACTATCAAAGTAAGAGTACCTAAGTGGAAACAAAATCCTTGTTAATATAACAAAACGTTGTTACAAAATCCGCACGATATGTTATAAAAACGTACCATAACGTAGGGTGGATGCCCCTATTACCAGCCTTATAGTGCCAATTTCAACTTTAAATATTCCTGCTATTTTAATTAGGATTCAATATTTTTAAACATTTGTTTTAATAGATAGGTTATTTATCTAAAAATATAATGAATATTTATTTACAATTATATTATTTCAAGAACAATTTTAACATCGACGATAGGCAAAAAAGTCGTTATGGCTCAAATTCCAGCCTCTCTGTACCGAATGTCGTCTTTTTGTGTACTTAATGCCAGCATAGGATAGGGTTGTGCCTTTTGAGTTTTTGGTAAGTACCTATTGCAGGTAAGTTTTAGAGGTACAGTAATAAATTCGTTTAATTTTGAATCTGAATGTGACAATGACATGGATATGTATTAAGGCAGACGACAACATTATTTAATTTTAATGTTTTACTACTTAATTTACTGTGTTTTAGTTTAAAGCTGCTCAATAAATTAAAGCAAATTATGATAAAATATTATGTAGTATATCGATTTCTAATAATTTAATTATCCAAGTTTTCAAATCATCATTGTCATTACAACCTTACACAAGTCCACTACGGAACATCCTCCTCCATAGACTGCCGCAAAGCCTGGTCCTAAACCACTTTCCTAGTCATGAGTTTTTCATTTATGTTCTAAGTTGTAATTAGCATTACTAAGTTAAAGTTTTTTGCTTATATATACTATATTTATTGATTGTTTTTTCTTCTTTCTCAAAAAATAATTGAATACATAAGGTGTCCTTAAATATACGCCAAATGTAAGATAGAAAAGCTAGTACGTCTTTTGCTAAACTTTAAAATCTAAAACCAATTTTAAAACAGAAGAATTGATCATAACTCCTTTAACTATAAAATAAGTTATGATCTAGTTAATGGTATTTATTCCAGTTTATGACAGCCCTGATTTATATTACGTGGCTGAAATTACGTACTTCTTATTAGTTACGTCAAACCAAATAACAGCCGGGCGGCTGACATTATGCACTCCATATATTTTTTATATCTAATTACAGCCCCATTAATTTCCACTAAAGGAAAATAAATAACTTGTAAATTCAAACAAAAATAACTGCATTACTATCTCTATAGTCATATTCATACAAATCAAAAAGCCTATATATGAGATAATGTAAAGTAAGCATGATTATACCGGGATCAAAACTTGTCAAAAAATTAGGAAAATGAGTTTTCCGTCCCGTACGTGTTTTGATTTTTAATTTAACACTGTTAGGTTTAAAACTGTGAGGTAGTATTTGAAATATACTTTCCTCTAATTACGAAGAATTTTTTAGGTGACAATATTTGTAGTTAAAACTAATAGAAATCTTATTTACGAAGCAAATAGGCGAAAAGGCTGCAATTAGGGGCATCAACCCTACTTGTTTTAAGTGTGTCTGTTCGAATCTATGGAACTAATATATCGTAGGCTTAGATGGTAGGTATACCTACATTAAATTTCGTAAAATCGATTAAAAATTAGAACGTCTATTATTTCATATAATGAGATTGATCATGATTTTGTGACAAGTTAATCGATGATATTTTTCTTTATTTAAATGCACGTTTTACTTCCTCGATGTCTTTGATGTCCCAGAATTAATGGTATTAATAATTGTTATCCTAGTTAAGGAATTAAAAATTAAAATGTCAATGCTGTGGTGATAACATAATCTTTAGTATTGTAAAATATTGCGTATTATCATAGGAAAAACCTTGTTAATTACAAATCTACTCGTATTAATAAGCCATGCAACTATGAGTGTACCTACTCGAATATTGCTTTAAGTCAAAGATAGTTTTAAAAAAAAACTGTTTTAGCTTTAAAAAGTAGCAGTGTAGTCATATAATTTTTTTTGTGTTGTGACCCCAAAATGTGTTGTAGCGGTATCTGACATTTAGCTTAAACAACTGCAAGTTGCAAGCTAGCAAGCTACATGCAATAAAATGTCAATCACTTTATATTCTAAACAGTTTATTTACTTCCGGTCTCACACCGACAAAGTAGATATCGGAGCGCTGCGTACAATTTGTAATGACGCCTATCGCCTAACCCTGCAAGTTCTTGACTCACGCACATATCTTTCTTCTTTCTTTCATTAACAGCCCGTAAAAGCCACCACCAGACGCACACATAAGCACTTATAACCATTGCAAATGATGAAGATGCATATCTATGCATGAGTGCGTCTTCTTACAAAATGGTTAAGCATAGTTATGGCTTCTCAAAAAGTATAATAACTGTTCTATAAAATGGCTGGGTTTAGGCGTCACATGAAACGTTCGCAGCGCTCCGTCTATCTCCTTCGTTGGTCTGAGTTTCCGGTGTAGATTTGATTTTACGATTGTATTTCACGTGCAATGTTATTTAGGGTAAGTTTTAGTTCTAGGAAATATTTAAGAAATATCAAAGCATGTTCCGTTATTTAGCTAGAAAGAAGGACGATATCCCTCTTGTATGTTGTAGATTGTAGTGAAATAGTCGTAGTAAGATAAGGTAACGTAAACATATCAAGCGTCGAGCCATCATGTATGACATGACCAAGAATATCGAAAACATATCAAAGTAGTTTTAAGCATAGTTAAAGGCGATATTAGTTTATAGAATTTATCACATTATATTGTACTTTTATTAATGTATTAAAAATAATACCTAATATAAAAATAATTTTCTAGAAAAATATTATTAACTAAATTTAAAGTGTGTTATTTACATAATTATGACGTATGATGTCTTGTTACCCACAAAATTAATTTATAAAAAAAAATCAATGTTATTATTGTGATTATTCAATGGCTAATCAGTTACTTGTTACATTTTTATATTAAGCTGCCTTGTTATATTCTTAAAATCCTTTTTGTTTATTTGCGACATATTATCAAGTACTTTAATTGTGAGTTTAAACATTGATTCAGATGTTGGTGGCCTTTTGGTTTTGGCATTCTCTCCCAGTCAAGTGAAGGAGTAGTAAATAACTTTGAATATAAATACAAGACAAAGAAGCAAAGTCATTACAACTTGCTCTCTTGCTTACGCCACAGAATAAAAATAACTTATGCTCTCACTCCGTTACCTATTTAAAATATCATACGGGTTTTTAAAATATTTATATAATTGTTAGGTATACATATTAAGAAAATTTGTTATCAGATTTTATTGATAGAATTTTCAGTACTTTATGCACTGATAATGTTTAAATCTACTTAAGAAATATAATTGTTCAAGCTTCAACATAATATGAGTGAATTTTAGAAAATAAATCAAAAAATAACTTCTAAGTTCTGTCGCGATCAGTTTAACTGCTGCGTGTCTATTTTAAATACATTTTTATATTTTTAGCTATTGATATATTTTATAGTAAAATAATTATAGCGGAATATAAACAACATATTAAAATTTCATTGTTCGACGTTGAAAGAAAATGTAGGAAAACTTTATCCTCATTTATTAAAACTACTATAGAAAAAATTTACTTAGATATTGATGTTTGTAATAAGATGTAATCATCATAAAAGTTTACGTAATTGTTATTAATCGTATATGAAATATATATTTACTAATACGTATGAATCAAAGATGTTGGTGTTATTCACAATTTTAAGGTGTAATCAGTATGTAAAATAATCGAAAACCTTCAACGTCAAAATAAATGTAACGTAGAAATAGAGCAAAAGTCATCTTGCAGCTCTTTGACGTCCTCCCTCTGCTTCTGTATAAGATACAAAAATTGACGTGAATGTAACCAAACATATCATAGAACTTAAGAAATTATGTGTCAATTCGATGTTGGTCTCAATAAAATATAAAAAAAAGTATGTTTTATATTCAATTGTCCCTCCGTGTTTATAGTGAGCGTGAGATATAATAAGCGGACTACATGACGAATCAGTCTTGTCTTTGAATAGGTACTAGGTGGTGGAACTCCTTTTCTTCTGAGGCCTTCGTCTGGGTAGATACCAGCCGCTTACATCTTACTTCCGAATAGCTGGGCTTGCCTGCAGTGCTCCGGTCTGTAGGGTACAGAGAGCCAGTATAGAGAGGCTGTGGGGCTGCGCATCTTAGACCTCAGGGTTAACAACGCCTCATGTAGCCTTCTTTATATGAAGTCGGCACCAGGTGTCCATGACACACAGTACCCCGGTCGAGCCGACTCATTAAAACTACATAATATAGCTGCAGTGTGGCTGTACCGCGTAAAACTTGACAACAT